AGGAATGACTGGAAGTTTCACCTTCTGGGCCATTTTTTTTCCTCAGTCATCCTGTGTTTTCTACTAATTCTGACTGGGGGGAAGTAGACCGATGAAAGGATGTCTCTTCTATTGCTTGTGGATGAACACAGCACAGAGTACCTGCCTCTGAAGTGCTGCAAGTTACAGCTGCTCTAGAAAGCAACATTTTCCATGCTGAGGTCATCAGGGACCACGCCATGGGCAAGGGGTTTACTGTCACATGCTTGGCTTTGCTGAGTTCATCATAATGTGGTAATCTGAGGCACAGTAAATGTAATTCTGCTATCTTCTAAGATTCTAGCTAGGTAAATTGTAGTTAAGTTCCTCACTGAATACTTGAAGGTATCTAATCTTCTAAGCATAGTGAAACTGAAGGTTTTGTTAAGTAGATGCTGAGGGGAAGCTTTCACCAGTTCTTCTAGCTACAGTCAGCATTGACTGAAAGAGAATGGAAACTTTACAAGACTCATCATATGGACATCTTTCTAAACCATCAGGGTTTGTTGGTTTTGTTGTTTTTTTTTTTCACTTTACTTTAGATCCAAGTCTTATAAATCTGTGTGCGAAGAAATTACCCCCTTTTAATGAAAAGGTCTATCTAATCTTTTTTATTCACTAAAGATTCATTAAATCTTTACCATTTCACTGATTTGGAGGATTACATTAAATGGTTGTTTTCATTGATGTCACTCCTTGAAATGGCTATGAGTCTTTTTAGCATACATATTTTCTCCTGTTGTTAAGCATAAAGTGTTGAGCTGTGGAAATCACTGGAAGCTACAGAAATGAACAACAGAGTCTCATTTTGAACTCTCTGCATAACGTATTTTTAAAGAGAAACCTTAAATGAATGATCACCAGTTTCTACTACCGTGGAAGAAATACTTTGGAAGTAGTGAAATACAGCCCAGGCATTGGATATGTCTTTGGGTCTCACAGAAAGGGATTTTATTAGTGCCAAAAAATAATTTGAAATAGAAAAATATCTAAGGCTAAGTGGAGTCATTGGTTGCTATACCAATATGGTTGTGATGGTGTGTGAAACAACATTTTATGTATTAATTAGGAGGAGGAGGAGGGAGGGGAAAAAGTCAAAAAGAAGGATAACATAATTAATCTTCCTTCCTTTTGGAAAACCCAGAAAAGAAGATAAAGTGGGACTGCTGCAAAAAGCCTGGCTCCTTCTTCTTGCTACTGGTGCTTCAAGGCTACTATTAAGTTCCCCCAAAGCTTCCTCTTTCCCAGGCCACTTCCTTCAGTGTCTTTATTTTCTTTCTTCTGTCAGGAGAATTAATATATTGAACTGATGTTAAAAAAGACAAATCTTCATTTTCCTTTAGAATTAGTATTAAGATACATATGTCAGTCACTTGAAGCCCACTAATTTTATCAACTGCGGGTCTGACTCTGACATAATGTACACTTAAAGATCTAGACTGAAAACTGAGGGCCAGGTGATAACCCATCCATCATCCACCAGTTCCTGTGTAGCACCAGTTTTCTTTCCTTCCTCACCTGTCTACATGGCATCCTTCATTCTCTTTTGGGATTACATGCTGACTGATTTACAGTTTATTTCAAGTGATGGAAGAAAATATTCATTGATTCTGTACAGTAGCAATAATAATGTATTAAACAATAACTTCAGTAGCAAGATGTTATGTTCTTCCCTGGATGTGAGTAGCTCTTCAGGTCTCCACCCGTTAACTGGAATGTGGGGAAAGCCACACTGGGAAAGGAGACCCTTGCTGTGCTAGGTTATAATTTGTATAACTTTCCTCACAACTATATAAAATGGAAATGCTGACTTCTGTTAGAGATAGATCCTCAGAACAGCAGAAGATTCGGAAGATTTCCAAGACCGAACTGGGTGTAGTCCTAGGGAACTTAAAGCTGGTCCTGCTGTGAACAGGAGGTTAGATTAGAGACCTCCTGTGGTTCCCTCCTCTGCCTGAATTATCCTATGATTTTATGATGTTCATTCTCCTGAATCAAAAATAGTGGGTTTGTGTGTATGTGTATTGCAGTTATGTATTTTTAAAATTGTATTTAACAATCACATTTGACTTAGAAAACATCAAAAATTCCATTAGAGCATTGTCTGGATGGCTTCTCCAATTTCATCACCTACTTTTTTCCTGTGCCTTCATGGGAGAATTTGACTGGAGAGATCTAAAAAATTGAGTAATACTTCCTGTTTTCCACAAAACAAAAACAACAACAAAAAAACCTGTGTTGGATTTGGTCATATCTTGGTCTCACTCTTTTTTTTTTTTTGTTATTATGTAATACTTCATATAAGAAAGTACATGTGAGTGTTATAATTTCATTCTCATTCAAGTAAGTTTCCTCATTTTGCTTCAAGTTATCATCATCATTATGAATGAAAAAGTGAAACCACAGCTCTTCTGTAGACACATACATTTCAGTTTCTGTCGCAGGTAGTTGGTGATCAGTCAGCTGTATTCCTTGAAGAGTGCTTGGTCTGTTTTTTACATTTGTGAGATGTCTTTTAGCTGTTATGATTGTAATATTTTTAATGTACTAATGGTTACAGACTGAATTTTGTGGTGATCTATTTCACTCTTATTCATGATGTTATTCTTTTGCTTCAAATAAAAAGTTATTGATGATTAGTTTCTTCAGATAAATTTTTAAGACAAAAATTATTTCCAATAATCAGCTCTGCCTATTTTGCCAAGGAATTTAACATAGACTGTGCCATTGATGTCAGCAAGAATAGGATTAAGGAGCAGGATTTCATTTACTTAGCTGTAACTGAAGAAGTCAGAATTAGCTTTAGCAGTTAAATTACTTGTGGCAGAATTGTTTGTTTATGTCCCTAATATTCCTGTGGTATATCTTTGAATGATAGATCATTTAAGCTGACTCACACATCTGAAAGATTAACATTTTACCAATATTCAGTTACTTATTGCATATTCTTGTTAGTGTAAGAGGCAGTTTAACTGAAAAATGAATGCTAATAAAATGCCTTTTTAGTAATTCATTTTGAAAACCATTTGACCTTAACTACAATGAAAGTAGACTGTAAAAATCATCATAGATTCCCTTCCTTGAACTTTTTCATAATGCTGAAAAATGACTGAGGGAAAGAAGCAAGATCCAGTTACTGTACCCTGTTTGTACAGCTGTACTTCATTGAGTGGAGGCTTGTGTTACACACAGTTTGTGATAGGAAGTAAATGCTTTTAAAACAACTAAGGAGACAGGTCTTTAACCTCCACCTTTTCAGATTCTTTGTTCACTCATTTAGCTTCTGTTGAGGTCTTGGGAAACATTTCAAATACAAATTATTATTGAGTACTGAAGCTCATCTGAATAATTCATCTCCTAGTGAGCTCATTAGGCAGAGATGCTTTTTTTTTTTTTTTTTTTTTTTTTCAGAGAGATCACTAATTCTTGATACAGTGAATGTCTGTTCCTTCAGGAACAAATGCTTTCAAAGACGGGAGAATTCTCAGATTGCATTAAATGTTTTACAATAGTTGAAATTAGTTTTAGTTCAGCAATTGTAAGGATTTTCAAGGATTTAAGGGACATTTAAAAATTATGTTGTCATGTAAATTACCAAACTGACAAAATTAATTAGACTTGCAATTCTCAGTTTCTAGCATACCAGACTGTTACCTCCTGTTACAAGCCTATCTAGTCCCTGAAATGGTGAAGACACCTTGAGATTCATTAAGGGGATTTTTTGGCATTACTTTACATTGCAAAATGTATGTTAATGACCAGACCTAAACTATTTGGTGTAAGCTTGGTACCAGATAATTTCAGGACTTCAAATACACTTTATGAGATCATTCTGTTAATGTAATTCTAGTATCTGCCAAAGGCACTTCTCTGATTATTCTAGTGAAATATATCAGTGGCAATGGGAGTGTGCAGCTGGCAAGCCAGTAAACTTTTAATTTCTGTAATTAGATGAGGGTTTGTGTACACTTCAACCTGTGAAATACATGTGACCTTAAAATTAGGTTTATGCTACATAGGCATTACGTGGGCTGCATTAACCACTCATTTTCTCATTTTACTGCAGTTAAGGTCATCCTCATAGCTTGGTAGCTATACATCTGACAGCCATGAACATGTCTATCTTAACCTCCCACTTAAGGCTGTCCAGATATCAATATACACTGCAGAGGGGCCACCCAGATCTGCACTTAATGAGAAAATGCACTGAAATACAATCGGGATTTTGAAGTATTCTTCTTCACTGGGGCGCTTAGAGGTGCGATGGCTTCAGAGCACATGGCTGACTCTGGTTTTGCCCTTATTTCAGGAACTTTTTTTTGAACTGTAACACAGTAGAGTGACTGCTCCCCTTTGGCTGGGTCTAGAGTTCCCAGCAAGCAGTCATTTGTTTTTCCATTTGTCACTGGCGGACAGGCAACGGCTGTGTTTTGTGGTCTGTGGTACAAGTGGGCCTGAAAATTTACATGTCTCAGAAAACTGTAAGCATAACATCAGACACCAGTTAGGTTGTTTAAATTTGAAGTGTAATATTATTGGAACACTTTATGTCCCCTTCTAGTCTTGAAGTATAACTTCAATAAACAAATGCAGGCATAAAAGTATCCTTAGTCCTTGTCCCTCCGAACCTCATAACAGAGCTCCTACCAACTCAGGTTATCAGGATTCAACTCAGACTTTCTGGCTGTTTAACTCTCATCTCGCACATCTTTCTACTTATCCAGCAGTGACTTTAGTTCCTGCCACAGCCTTGCCTTCTTCAACGTAAAAGTTACGCTGACTTGTGTCCACTTACTGACGTTTAACCTAGCCTACGCAAAGTCATCTCTGAGCGTTAGGTTTTATTATTTTCTATACTATGGTAAAATAGCAAAGTGTAAATTGGGGGATTAGTTGCTTTTAGCTTAAGAAAAAGGGCCATGGGAAATAAATGTTGCTTTGTTCTCTAGTACATACCTCATTAGAAATTATGTGTTTTGCAGAGGTTAATATACTGTGGGCAGCGCACCAAATACATCATAGTTCTGAAGATTACAACTTGTTCACAGCCTTGAGACAATCTGTACTGCAGAAATACACCTCCTGGGTAAGTTGCACAAGATTTGACAAAGAAATTCATATCAACAAGCTTTAGTAAAAGTGAAAACATTGTGTGTGTTTACCTTCAAAGAAAAATATATAAATTATGTAAGATGATTGACATTGAAAACACAGGAGTTGAAACTGAAGAATCTGAGAATCATAAACTTTAATATACATTTGTTAATGTTTTTGCAATAAACTTGAAAAGAGATACAGTAGTTAAATTTAAGAAGGCTAATTATAACCCCACATTTATGTTTTCATAACTTCCTGAGTAAAATGGGAGAACTTTTTTTTCATTCAGTTATTCATGGGTAAGTACAGGAAAAGATCACAGTATAACATAACTACTCTAGAATATGTCTGTATAACTGAAAGGAGCAGGGAGAGAAATCATTACTAAAGATTGCTTTGGACATGCAAATGTATTTATTTGTCTCTGCTCATTCATGTCATGTGTCAGTGCTCTAGTAAGTGCAGTATGCCACTACTTTTACCTAGTGTTATTTCAGATATAATTTATTTTAGATGGTGAACTGTGCACATATCCAATATAAATTAAAATGAGTACTCATATACAGATTTTAAAAAAAGTATATTTCTAATTACATTCATAAATGTAATACACTATTCAGTGTTTAGTTTTGGGCCCAGGATAACTGCTGATTTCCTCAGTTGCTCTCTCATGTTCTCTGTAGAATCTATTTTTAACTCTGCTTGTAGTTTATTTGCTTGTTTTTTATAAAATAACAACTTCAAAATTTGAATTTTAAGACTTACAGTTCAAAAGCAATATTCAATATATTTTTGTATATATAAAATATATAAATGCTCTTCTTCAATGAGGTATAATACTGGTGGTAGAGGAAACCCACAGTCCTCTGGAAATACAACTAGCCTATGAGCAAATGACTCAAAGCTGAGATTGTGTGCTCACACAAATACAAATCCAATGTAACTCCATTAACTTTGGTAAAGTTAGTCTGGATTTATGTTCATACAACTAAGCATGGACTTAGACTGTTATTCATAACAGTTCCAAGCCCATGACATTAGATGGACACTAGGTTCCAAAAAAATGACTAGATCTGGAAATTGTGAAGCTGATGCTATTTCTTAATTTTGTTTCTTAGTCTTCTCTGTAAATTCTCATTATTTTTTTATTCAGGAAATAGTTATCTGATGTTGGTAGAAATCCCTCAAATTTACACAATCATAATGAACAATAATGGAAGGGATGCATCTCTGTCACGACTCTACTTCCTATGTAAAAACTGCCATGTTAAAGATTTAACCATTGGGACTACATGTGCAAATCCTTAACAAAAAAAATAATTCAGAAAGACAAAAAGCCTGTGAGTACAAATGGGTGTGTACATAAGTGCTTTGTCTGTCTGTGTGGTTAGGAGGATGATACCTCAGAGAAATGTTCAGGAAGGCCAAGCTGTCTGGCCTTGTTAGATTCTGAAGACCATCCTCAGGACCACACTGATATCGCTTGGCAGATAATGTATGTATATTTAAAATTCATTTGCTTTGACCAAAGGGAAGCAAACATAGGAATCCATAATACTTTTGCGTGCAGTGTTTTTTCCACTAAATATTTGGTATTAGTCAGGATATTTGGTTAATGTAAACATTGGTTTACCTCCCTCCAGACCTTTTGAGAGATATGCAAGTTTTCTTTATTCAAAGCCTTGCTGTACTGCTATTTTTTTGGACTGCCAGACTTGTCCAGAACCCCATGGATGCATCTGCCTCAAAGCTGAAACTCAGTGAAGCCTTTATTTAAGTTCTGAGAGCGATCTGATGTTGCTGAACGTGTACTGTTGAATGCAGTTTGACATCCAGTTTTGTGGAGGCTGTGAGAAAGTTGTGGTGGGTGATGTGGGATTGTGGGACTGTTCTACTGCCAGTTCTGTATGTGTTTTAAGTTAAACGTTATAAGATAAATAAATCAGCATATTAATCTGTGTGGGTTGTGCTCAATCTGATTGAAAAGAAGTGAAATGAAAGAAAAACATGCTTGAAAGTACAGTCAGTTGTTTGAGCTGTAGCCCTGAACTTGGAACCAAATGTGTATTGCTTCATGTTGTTTGCACACACAGTTTCTGTTACTCCAGTGTGGGAGCCATAGAAAAACAGAACTACTGTTAAGACTGAGAGATGGTTTTGAAGCTTACTTTGAGGGAAAAAGATGTGGAAAAAAAAATGTATATTAATTTTTAAGAAGTCAGCAAGCTAGTGCTACATAAATTTTTGCTTCTGATGAAACAGTGTAATTGTGAAAGTAGAGTGTTGCACATACACCTTGAAAAGCTATGATTTAATTTGAGTACCAGTTCTCAACTTTCCTCCAAGGGTAAGATTTAATTGCAAATATTAGTTCCATAATAATTTGATAGATTTAGACTATACATTTAGATAAAGTGTTGAATTATGCCTTACTGGTTTAAAAGCAGTGGAAACATCTGTGTATAAATCTGGAAAGGGAATAAGTAACACTGTTCTGTTCAACACTGAGTCACAAAGTTCACTTCTTATCTACTGAGCAGTCTGCCAGGTCTGGGATCTGTAAGGGATGGTTTTTTTGGTTTTTTTATCTCTGCCATTAACTCCTGCAGAATCCTCACGGGAGTATAGCCCACAGTCAGCGGCTGTTGGCAGCTGCCCTGTGGCCCCTCAGCCCTGCAGTGGCTGGCTGGCCAGCAAGGGCCACCCCCATCAGCAGGTGGCCCCATAAAAACCCAGCATGGAAAAGGAGGAAACTTTGCCTTCCTGCTACACCTCAGGAGTTGCACATTTTTCCTGTTCCACATTGGAAGCGCTTTTACTGACAAACGAGAGGGAGAAAGATAGAGCATGCCCACATTGGAGAGCGTGCAGCAGACACACGCTCTTCAAAAGGGGCAGTGCCTTAAGTGTGAAGGTACGCAGCTGCAGCGCAGCAGCCCCAGGTACAAATCCCTCTCCAACCCCTCGCTGAGTGCCTTTCCCAACAGGTTATCAGTTACTGTGGCGTGCTCTCAATCTCTGTTGCTGAATCCACGGTGGGAAAAGATCTGTGAGTGGGATAAACATTCTTCTGCAGTTTTGACCAGAAATTTCATCTTGGAGCCAGGAAAGCTTTTCCTCTACAGATTAGTGAAAGCTGGTACATTCTCATGAAATGTTTTGATTTGGTGAACTGGCATTTCCAGTGAAAAACTGTTTAATGATTTTATTATTTTTTTTCTGACATTGATGTTGTTTCAGTGGAACCACAAATAGGAGAAGCCAAATCTTTTGTATGGGAGAGGTTTTCATTCCTCCCTATGGGTTCTACTTGTGTAAATGATCTTTGAAATCCTTTCTGTGCAAAATAAAGCTTACATTGCAAGGAAACATGAAGCAGTTAGGAAAGCATTTTCCTTTGTCAATCTCAAATTTACCTGCAGATTTATATAAAATTTCCTTCATCTCACCACTTAGCAGGGAAATCCTAGTACTTCCTGTGAGAAGTAGGTTAGAAAATAAATATGAAGATGATCCTTCCTTCCTCTCTGAGTCATCTGTAAATACCACCAAATTGCCTCTGATACTTTTAGGAAAAAAAGCATCTAATTTTTAACCCTGCTTTCAATCCTGCAACCACTGCCATGAATAATCTGAAAACCATCTGTTTGTTTTTTCTAAATCAACTTTCCTCTCCATTTCTTCTAAAAAAATTTCCTGCTCTTATCATGCCGTTAGACAGGTACAATCAATAATAAGAGAAAACTGCAGTAGCTTTACTTAAATGTGGCTGTGTCCCCTCTTCCTTCATTGGCTTCTTTGTAAAATAATCTTTGAGAAAAACCATGCCAGCCTTCTGGCTGTAGTGAGACAAATGTCTGTCTGGTTTTGTTTGTTTGTTTGGGGTTTTTTTAGCTCTCTCACTTTTAATAATTAAATACTAAGGGGGTCCAGATTAGAGGAAGAAGGGAAAAGGAACTCTGAAAAGAGATTGAATCCATGCCAGTGTTTAGGGAATTTCTTCTAAAGTATAGGAGGCTTGCACTACTTCACTACATGTCTGTTTCAGAGCATGAAGAGTTGTGGATTTGAAAGTTGCTCTTCTGTTCAGTAGCATTCTGCACAAGGCAGAATTTAATTCTTTTTAATTCTTAATTTTTAATTCTTAAAGAAGTCTCATGCCGGCTTCTACTCCAAAATTTCACACCTAAGTGCCACATCCCTCTAATAGCATTTACTAGCTCCCACCTTAGGTAAGAGTTGCTGTGGATTTTTGAGTTTACTTTGAGTGATTCTTAGAGATTGAAAGGTGCAATTTTCACCTTCCAAATAGATTTTTCTTTCTTTTTTTGTTTTACAATTGAAGGAAAACAAAACAAAAAACCAACAACCTTTTCTGAAGAAAAGTCTGACTTCTAACACAATGCAGGTCTTGGAATTCTTATTCTATTGCTCAGCCAGTTAAGCAAATAATTGTGGAATTCCTGGGACTTTACTCTGTCTGTAAGATACCACTGCTTTCCTAAGTAAGCAATTTTCTGAAACTGTTTTCATGCTAGCACGTCTTTAGAACTCAGCAATGTATCTTGCCTTCAAGGGAGATGCCATGAGGAAGTTAGGGTGAGAATTTGTAATTAACTCTGAAAGCCAAGTAAGCTGCCTTGCCCTTATGGTGCTCACATAGGGAATTCTGGTGGAAAATCTATTGTATTATATATTCACACCTTGTTTACTCTGTGATAATTCTCCCCTATAAGTGGACACTTCATGTCAAGGATATGTTGCTGCCTGCTCTGTATAGTACACAGAATAAACATCTAGCCTCAGGACTTCCGAGTTCTTTTCTTGATTTTTTTTACTTGCTCAGTATGACTTTTGGGAAATTACGTTTTCATCAATTTATATGTCATTTGTTATAGCACATTTAGTAGTAATGTAATAATCAGTATCTATTCTGTGTAATGTCTACATTATGGAGGTATTAGAAGTAGTAGTTATCTTGAGCAGTGCTTTGAACTCCTGAGATAGTACTTTGTTATATCATCACAAGTTTTGAATTATATATATAATGTATATTTTCTTTCTCATTTTTCAGATTTTCAACTTGCCCATGGCTCTCTTCATTCCCCCTTCAGTGTTTGCTGTTCATCTACAGTTTAATCTACTTTACCAGTTTTGGATACATACAGAGGTAAACCAGGTTTTTAAGCCATACCTAAACAGTTAGCCTGGAGCAGTGTCCTGGAAATCCACTAGCAGCTGATTTATTGTGTAAGAAAAATCTTTGTCTGACTTCTTTAAGGAGAAACATCTGTTCATTTTTATTCCTTTTTCTGAATATATATTGCTAAGTTTATAAGAAGCAATGAGGCCAGTTGGTCCCAATTAGATCTAAAAAAAAAAAGTAACTGTAAGGAATCAAAACTTTTTGCTATTTTAATACTATATTTTCCTATCTTGCAGCTTATTAAACATTTCTGGCAGATCCTGAAACTGATTTAATTTCAAAGATAAATATTTTAGAGAAAAATATCCAAAACCTAGTGCTTCTTAAAGATCATTTAGAGTTGCAACTGAGGTCAAATATTGTTTCCTTCTTAGTGCAAGTAATTCTCAGATGAAAAATGCTCTTTGATTATCTGATAGCTATTTGTTTATGACTGCACCTATTTATTTACATTTTGTGCGTACATAGACCACATCTAGTTTACATACATACACAGTTAATAATCCATTGTGATTAGTAAGTAGTTTGCCACACTTCCTCAGATAGTTGAACAGCCTCCTGCCCTCTCCCTCACACTACAGTAGAAGTGTTTAAAGGTATACTATGTTATATGTCAGTAACATATTTCTCAGTAGCCCCTAGTGGGCTGGGGCTAATTACCTCTACATCACTTAACTCCTTTGATTATTCTAGCTATACAGATGCCTTTTTCCCCTCTATAGTTTCATTATGTGATCTATAGGACAGTTGTTGTGGAAGGTAGTTTTATTTTCTTTATCTGCTAGTTCAGGTAACTCTGTTGCTTAAATTACAGTTTTCATTTTCTCTTTTCTGTGTGTTTCCTAAAAAGAAAAAGAGGAAAAAAGCTGCTTACAGTGACCCAATAACCTCAGTAACAAACTTCTGTTGTTGAAATTTCACTTGTATTGGGCACATTTCTAAAATCATTAATACATGTCTGATGCTCTGTAACACCACCATTCTGAATAGGGAAGGCTTACAATAAAATGTCATGCACATCACCAGAACTGGCGTAAACTCAAGCAATACACAATTAAGCTTGTTAAAATGTTTTGAACAAATTTGAACACTTTGAAATTATACTAAGTGAATACTCTGAATCACATGGTAGCAAAGTTTTGTTGACCATGCCTTAGGTTCCTCAAACTGGCTTTATTGTGTTTTGCCACTATGAAAAATACAATATGACTTATCTACATCTTCTCTGCTGTCTTAAGTAATTTCTTCCATGGCTGAGAGGTTACTGACATTCTGCTGTGTAGCAGTAACTCAATGAGTCTCAGCACTGGTGCCACAGTGTGTGTCTAAAGTTTCTAAAGTGAATTTCAGAGGCTTATGAATTGCCTATGTCCCTCTAAAGCGCTAAATCCTTCATAGGGCTTAAAAGGAATTTCCATAGCATATGTGCAATGTGCCAAGTTTAGACACTAGTCTAAACAAGAATGAATTTCAGTCTCAAGGAAAAGATAAGCACCTCTTATTATTAGATTATTGTGCCAGTAGAAAAACAGTGGATTTTTACTGATCCAGTTGATCCAATCATAGGTCTTTGTTTACAAGGGAAGTAATTCTTAATGTTGATATTTTTGATTTTGTAGCGCAGCTGAAATCAGTTGAAATATGTTGAAGTCATGCTTTAAGGTCAAAATTAAAATAGGGCTACACCATATATTAGCATATTTCCTGCTCTCAAGGGCATAAAAGAAACAAGAAAGGAAAGGAAGGGAAATAGTAGCAGCTATTGCAGCCAAACAGGTTTATATTAGCCAATATTTTTGGTGAAATGCTTCACCATTATACTGGGGTTTTTTGCAACAACTATTACAATTTAACTGTTTAAAGCTGTAGCATCTTTAATCTGTTGTTTTTTTGTTTTTTTGTGGGTTTTTTTTTCACTAACTGTCCTTTTCCTGAATTTTAACAGTTCTAATGATCTTACACAGATAATAGTAAAACAAAAATCCTTTTTCTTAAGTCTCAGTTTCCAGAAGTTTCCCAATATGTGAAGTTTGTCTGGGGCTGCAGGCCTGGGATTATATAGGAAACAGCATCCTGTCTCAGTGACTGCTGCTAGCCCTTGTTCTGAGAGCTGAGATTCATCATTCCCCAGCAGCTCTGGTGTCCTCTGGGAACCCGTGGTGAGCGCTGTTACGGAGTGGCAGTACAAGTCATTAAAGGTCTCGTGGAGATATGCTTCATTATTCATAGTCCGCCAGTGCAAGATGTAATAGTTTAATTCTAAACTGCAAGAGCGTTGGATATGAAAAGTTGTTTGTCCTCAGATTTATATTGCTTTTATTCAGTATCAGTGTTTCCTTAGACAAGATTTGGCCCCATATTGACTAGTTAAGTATGTTTGAAAATTGTAACTTCACAACTTTTGATTACACATCTTTCTCCTTCAGAAAAAGAAAATCGAGTAAGATACAGGAAAATATCTCTTTAAGAGGCATTTTTCCTTTCAGAGTGCTGAAAACCTTAATAAAGGATATGCACAATTTATTGGTTTATAACGGAAAAAATGTGATATTTAAGTAATAGGAAAGAGCAAAAGTATATGAAAGTTTCTGAGGGAAGATGTTTTGAGAATAATTTAATTTAAATTCGGTAATTGGAAGAGAATGATCATGCTGTGCTGAAACTTTCTATGTCGTGTTTCAGCCTAGAGCAAAAGCTTTTAACATATATACTTTAATTTTGAATGTGTCCAACATTGTTTCAAACAATACTAACAGAAGTTTCCTGTGTTATAACTTTGACCTTCTTCAATATTTATGTCAGTTTTTGTCCAGCTTTCCTACCAGGTCAGACATGGTCTATTTTTATTTTTTTTTTTTTAACTCAAGTAGCTCATATTTTCCTGTGAAGACAATGTACCAAATCATAAAGATCAAAAGTACCCACTTGTTCTATCTCAGTTAGACTTCTTTATTTCCTGTGTCTTTGGTATGTATTAGCTTTTGGCCTTTTATATAAAATAGTACAACATTTTAAGCACCATAAATCTTATATGAAGATTATATTATACCATTCTTCTGGTGCTAGAGATCTTTTATTATTATTAAATTCAGAATGGGCTATTGGTACAGGAAAGGCATTTCTATAATTAATAAAAAAAGGTTGGGTGTGCTGCACTGAAAATATGATGTTATGACTTAAGTTACGTATTTGTATTTATATTCTCCCATTATAAGAATTTTTGCTGTCTGAAGTTCACTTTTTTCCACTGTTTCTGTGCACTGTTGCACTGTATACATAGCAATATAAAATTATTTTAAATTTTCCAAAGATTATTTTTTTAATCTCTGAATAGCACTATGGTATTGAAATAAACTCATAATAAATTATTTAAAAGAAAAATGTAAAAAAACCCCAAAAACCTAACAAAAAAACCCCCACAACAGCACAAACAACAAAAAAAACACGCTGAAGAAAACACTTTCCTGTAACAGTGAATGAAGATAGGATCTCAATAAATCGAAGGAAAACGATGTTTTGCTCTATCCAAGAGCACTTAGGTCAATGGAATGAGTCAGTAGATCTGCTCTTAAATGATCTGGGAGAAATGACTAGACCATTCTCATCTAGATCATGGGGGAGGTAAAAAAGTTACTTTGGTCAAAGAGCACTAAAAATCTAATTTTTCAAAAGCCACAGAATGTTTCAGGACTGTTACTGACAGACAGAAATACTCCATTTCAGTTTATTTTCACAGGTGATTCAGAAGGCCTATGGCTCATATTAAACTATATCCTTCCGTTATGCATTTATTACAACCAATAAGTTAGGTGTGTTTATAACCTGATAGACACCTGTGAAAAACAGAAATTAGTTTCTGTTGGTTTAGCTGTAATTTTTATGAGATGTCAAATTGTATTTGGAAAGTATCAACTGAATCAATCCCTGATGGTAGTAATTGCAACAGCAGATTATTCCTTGCCTGTTTGATCTTTGACATGCATTAGTTTCTGTTTAATTTTCTAATTTAAGGAAAGACTGTAATCTGCCCTTTACCATACTCACAGAAGTCAGGTTTCTTAAGGCATCTCTTTTTCCCTTGTTTAAGTTTTTCTACCTCATCAAACTCTGGGAGCAGAAAAAGGTGAGCCACCATTCTTTACCAGGAGTAACGTGTGTGAAAACAGGTGAAGAATGGGAAAAAATTTTGGCAACACCTCACACAGGCTAGAGAGAGAGACATGAAATTACTGCAGATATAGGCCAAAATACATTTGTTTTTGTCAGAAGACACCAATTCAGTAAAACTGAAATATATGGTGGATTATATTGTATTTGTCAAAAAATATTTTGCACTTATGTGCAGTGTGTACTGGTCTAAGTTTCTGTCTATTACTTTCTTTGGCTTTGCCTTCTGCTCAATTTTCTGTAATGAAAAACTTCGAAAGAGAGAGAAATTGTCAAGGCTTGATACTTTCATGAAAAGGAATTCTATTCCTGGCACGAAGTCATGCACAGCCCATCTGGGCTCCCTGCGTGTAGGTGAGCTGTTGTGGCCTAATCTTGAAGTCCTTACATCAATCAGCTCTTACCTAGGAAGATGGGTAGATTCAGAAAAAAAATCTTCTTTGCTTTGGTTTTGTTTTTCCAAATGTGAGCTTAGGGTCAATAAGGAAATTAAATAAGCAAATTGAAGAACCAAGTAAAGTTAAGTAAAATACATAAAAATGTACATATTTCTTTTAAGTAGTGTGATTGAAACTCTATAGGACATGCATGTCTTCTTAAGCAGAAGCTGTTTGAGAGAAAGGTCTTCTGGATGGTGTTTAAAAGAATCATAAAATCTTTAGGACAATGTGACAAATAAGTGACATCCTGAGAAAATAAATAAAATATACAGTTGTTAATTATTCCCAGGCTCTAACAATTGAGATTGGTCCTCTATTTTCTTGCAAATTTAATTTTTCCATTTTATTGGACCTACC